CATGTTCATTAAAATACAGTATAGAAAATATTAAAAAAAAAGTATCAATAGTACCATAGCAACCAACATTCAACAATTACTACTTTAGTTAGTCTATTTCATTCCAATCAATAAAGAAAAAATACTGGATATACATGTTAATGTTTTGCTATCATATAAAGTTCAAACGAAGGATACACACTGAAATCTTATATACGTTACATCCTATTTCAGCTATTGCTTCTGCTCCATTGCTCTGAATCACTTACATCAATTATGACTACATTGAAGGTTATACAAGCAAACACATATGATAATATCTATTCATGATAAAAACAGTATTAAATAGAAGCAAATTCTCTACATTTTGAGATCTTTTTAGGGCTTGCACATTGGAAGTTGCAAGAGGCAGGACATATGAAAAAGGTCTCCATTTTACATTTTTATAGTGTAAGTTAAAATTTTCACATTCTTTCTTTTTTTGGCCATGTAAAGGACTTTACAAAGTTTTTATATTCAAGCAAGTCTATGTCATTCCAAATAACTCTTATTGTTTTAAAAAATATTATTTGCTTGCACCCATACTAAGTTTAGAAATTATCAACTCAGTGGAGGAGTTAAACAGCTGAGGAGACAATAGTTTATAACATAATAACTTTGCATTTAAAAACTAGAGGATAGATCCGAGGAAATTAATAAGAATGCAGCAGAGCGATAAAAGATTAAAAACATGATACAGTAAGATTCATGGAGGATAAACTAGATGACCCAATATATATCTATTAATAGGAATATCAGAAAGATTTACAGAATAAGAAAGATAAAATGGCTGGGAGCAGTGGCTCACGCCTGTAATCCTAGCGCTCTGGGAGACCGAGGCAGGAGGATGGCTTGAGGGTCAGGAGTTTGAGACCAGCCTGAGCAAGAGCAAGATTAGCAAAAAACAGAAAAAATTAGCTGGGCATGGTGGTGCATGCCTGTAGTTCCAGCTACTCAGGAGGCTGAGGCAGGAGGATCACTGGAGATCGGG